TCTAAGACCTCCCAAACCAGCTCCACCAACTGGGGACAAAATGTCCAAATACTTGGAGCCTATGGGGGACATTTTCATTCAAACCACCACACACTCCCACCACTGCTCATACACCTTCCTATGGGCAGGAAAGAATAGTTGTTTGGAACTAGTATATAACTTTGGCTGCCAGGTCTGAAGTTGATGTTGACTCTGTACACTTCAAGGGCTTATGAGATTTTCCAGGACGCAGGTGGTTTGGTTCACTTGGCATGCAACACTGCATCTGGCACACAGATGCAGATAGTATTACAGTGGATTCTGAGTTCTGTGCTGAGTCTCATGTCCACTGTCCCATTCATTTCCCACATAGTCCTATTACCCCTACTTTATAGATGAGAAAACAAAGTTTGAGCCCAATGACCCCTGCCAGTTGTGAAGATAGGAAGTGCTGGAGTGGGCATTTGTTGTATAACCAACGAATAAGTACCCTCACCCAGCCTGGGCCTTCCTTTGCTCCCTAAATGCAGAGGTATCTCAGGTACTTCTTGCCTCTGGTTTTCCCTCTGGGACATACCAGAGCAGTCCCTGACAGCAAGTGTCCATGAGGCCTGTCTGTTCACCTGGTAGATCACAAAGCCACATTCATGGCACCAGATAGCCATTCCCTGCTCACAAGTCCATCGAGGTAAGATACTTCCTGACAGCACTGATCCCTTCAGGCTCTAAGTCCCCAAGGGCATGCCACCTCCAGAGTCAGTATGAACTAGGGAAACAGATCTGTGCACCTGCTTCTGTTGTCCAAATTTCTGAGGTCAACTAGTCCAGCCAAATTAGATGGGGGAGCTGACGGCAGGCATTAGAACCTTTCCAAACCAGGCAGGGCAGGTGATTAGACATTACACACCCACTGCTTGGGACTGAGCAGATCTCAAAAGCCGTAGTCCAAGACACAGAACATTTGCAGAGCATTTCACAAGCAGCACATGAGCTGTACCGTCTTCTCCAAGGGGTGGGCAGGCAGGGAGAGGAACCTCTAACAAAGCACAAGAGGGTCCCTGAAATCAAACTGGGAAGAGGGATAATGGAAAGGTTTTCTAGAAAAGGCAATGCTTGAACTAAATTACTCAGTTGAGGGTCTCGATACATATCCCAGGCTGGCCTGGAACTCTTGATCTTTCTCCTTAGCCTCCCAAGAGCTGGGCATACAGGCATGTGTCACCTTACCCAGCTTTGAACTTGATCTTTAAAGACAAATAGCACGAGCAAGGTGGTAAAGGGCAGGCTAGATACTCCCTAAGAAAACCATATTTGCAAATGTAGTAGTGACAGTAGCAACCGACATTGCTGTCAACATTTTGTAAACAACATGACTTAATTTCACTGACTTGCTTACATTTCTTTTCTGTTTCCCTGTTCGAAAGTTAGTTTCCGGAAGGAAGGAATGCCCCCTAGACCCCGTATTTGTAACCCCATGCTTAGAACAGTGCCAGGTATGCATCTGTCAAACCAATCTTTAGTTTTCCTACGCTTTTCAAGTACTTACATAAATGTTTAAATCCACGAATCTTTAAACAAAATATTTTATTACTTTTATGTGTATGAGTGTTTTGATTACTTTTATGTGTATGAGTGTTGTGTCATGCAATGCCCATGTTCAGAAGAGGGCATTGGATCCCCTGGAACTAGTTATGGACAGTTGTTTCCCACCATGTGGGTGCTGGGAATCAAACCCGAGTCCCCTGTAAGTGCAGCCAGTGCTCCTAAGTTCTCTCTCCTGCCCCTAAATCCATGAATCTTAACATGAGACTGACTATACAACCTGATAATTTGTAGTATCATATATGAAACATAAGACAAAAACACAGTAGAATTTGATAAAAAGTTATTTGGAATTGATTTTACCCATATATTACTTTTGTCTGAGATCTGGAGAAAAGCACTGGTCTGAGAGCCTCAGTGTCGGTGCCAGTCATATAAAGCCAAAGTTTATTTGGACTTGAGAGTTCTATAAAAGCAAAGTTTAGAAAAGAATCTTACAGCTGTATAAGAAACTTCCTATCTGCATTTCTGAATTAGCTGAGGAGTTTGCATGGCTCCTGGGATCAGAGACAGATGTCTTAACCAAGCTAGACCAGAAGTTCCTTGGCTATTTACACTTGATTAGAGTCCACTGAGTTAATCCCTGCACTTAGGCAATATAAAACTCAGATGTGGTGGCACATACCATGAGCTCAAGGCCAGTCTGGGCTACACTGGCAGATCTTGTCTCAAAACAAAAGACCTCAGGTGTGGTACACTGTATTATGGACCCAAACTGTGACCCCTATTATCTTCTGATCTCCAAATTCTGGCAGTTCTAACCTCCAGTAACTCAGATAAGTGTCCTTACAAGAAGTGGAAGAGGGCCAGTGAGATGGCTCAGTGGGTAAAGACACCTCAAGTCTGACAACCCAAGTTCAATACCCAGGACACACGAAGTGGAAGGAGAGAACCAACTCCCACAAGTTATCCTCTGACCTACACATGTGCTGTGATGTGTGTATATACACACACAAATAAAAATTAATTTTTAAAGTTGGAGAGGAATGAGGATACAGTTTAGTTGGTAGAATGCATGGCCAGGATGCATGAGAGCCTAGCATGATCTCCAGCACTGCATGAGAATGATGATGTAGGCCTTTCATCCTAAAACCCAGGAGGCAAAGGCAGGATAAGCAGAAGTTCAAGGTCATCCTCAGCTACACACAAGTTGCCGGCCAGTCTGGGATACAGGACTCAAAAAATAAAATAAAAGACCTAAGAGAGAGGCTGCACACAATGGCCACGTGAGGACATAGTGAAGCGGTCTCTGCAAACAAAGGAGAAACTAACCCTGCTCACACTCTGATCTTAGACATCCAGCCTCCAGAACTGGAGAAATACGTTTGTTTAAACTGCCCAGTTTGTGATGTTTTGCTATGGTAACAGTTGTTGAGGTAACAGAGAGACTATTTCTGCTGACCTTTAGTTATCTAAAGCCCAATGGCTCCTATGCATTGTTTCATACTTAGGATTCTTATACTAATCATCTCTGCATTTAAGCAATTCAAATTGAGCATCTTTCATTTGCAAGTAAATGAAACATTAGCTTCCAGATAGCTAAAAATTTACCCCTGAATGTATTAAACACTTATTTTATGTGTACAAGTGTATTACCTACATGTGAGTGTATCCGTGTTGTGCAATGCCATGGAGGTCAGAAGAGGGTGTTGGATTCCCCTGAACTGGAGTTAAGGACAGTTCTTAGCTGCCATGTGGGTACTGGTAATTGAACCCCATTCCTCTTCAAGAGCAGCCAGAGCTCTTAACCACTGAGCCATCTTCCCAGCCCCTAAACACTAAAATATTTAGAAGGAGCACACACTAATACCAGCATTCTGAAGGCAGAGGCAGATCTCTCAAGATTGAGGCCAGCCTGGTCAGCAGAGCAAAGTTCCAGGCCAGCTGGTGCTACAGGGAAACTATCTCAACAAACAAAATCATTTAGGAGTCTTTGGATACATTTAGTTTCTGCCTTTATACTATCCTGTTTTTCATTATGAAAATTTTATATATGGTTAGAGCTGTTAGGCAATCTGGGGTTTCTCTTTACTGGTAGTCTCAGTCTTCTGGGACTATTTCATTCCTGTAGGGAAATCATTGCTGCTAATCTTAACAATCCTAACAATTACTGACCCACTATGATGAGATTGCTAGGACAATGCAGCTCTTTGGAAGATTCATCATCTGCAAACATTTTCTCCATACCAATCTATCTGCTCTAGGGAAATACTGGGAATTTTTTTTTGTGGGGGTATTATTAGTTTTTGTTGTAGTGTTGGGGTTCAGACCCAGGGCTTTCTGCATGGTAGAAAGGGCCTTTCCACTAGAGCTGCAACTTATTCCCTTTACTGGGGTTTTGGTTCCAAGAGCTACTTTCTCTTTAATGTTTTTTTTTTTTCCTCCTGCAGTTTTCTCATCTCGTCCTTCTTTGTCCTTCACGCCATGACCTGTCCTCTGCCTAGCTGCAACGGCTGTTATGTGAAGGCACAGTACATGAGGTCCTACGAAGCTCTGCTAGGAAATCACAGGGACTTGCCATGAGACAAGTTCTTCTAAGCTAGTTCTCAAAGATGGAACTGATTACAGAATCCAAGGAAGGAACATACCTGACAGCTGGATTTGTGAACATCTGCTGATCTTTGGAGGTAGGGCTCAAACACTGACAAAGTTAGGAAAACTGAGGGGGGGTTCCCCTTTGTGCCTTGTGTCTTTTTGTGGTTGTTGCTGTGCTAGAGATACAACACAGTGCCTAGGGCGTGCTAGGCAAGTGCCTATCGCTTGGTGTTTTCAAACAGTGTCTTACTACACAGCTCAAGCTAGCCCACCAACTTGTGATCCTCCTGACTCAGTCACCTGGGTGCTGGGATTGCAGATGTGTGCCACCATACCTACTTAAGAATATATTTTTATATTTTATTATTTTTAAATATTTCATTTATTTTATGTATATGAGTGTTATGCCTGCATGGTGCCGTGCAGTGCCCGAGGAGGACAGAAGAGGCTGTCAGATCCCCTGGAACTGGAGTTACAGACAGTTGTTAGCTGCCATCCATGTGGGTACTGGGAATCCAATCTGGGTCTTCTGCAAGAACAGTCAGTGTTCTTAACCGCTGAGCCATCTCTCTAGCCCCAATATTTTATTTTTATGTGTATGAGTGTATTGCCTGTATGCATGTAAGTGCACCGGTGTCATGCAGTGCCCATGGAGGTCAGAAGAGAGCATCGGATTCCCTGGACCTGGAGTTGTGGATGGTTATCAGTCACCATGTGGGTGCTGGGAATCAAACTCAGGTCACTGCAAGAGCAGCCAGTGCTCTTAACTGCTAAGCCATCTCTCCAGCCCCAAGAATATGATGCACAAGATGACACTGGGTGATACTAAGTGACCCATTGACAGGTTTCCAAATACCAAACCAAATAAAATGAACCACACCAAATCCAAATTACAACACTTTATTGCAGCATTGGCAAAGGTCAGATTTCTGAAGCTGGTGAAGACTGGGCGGTATTTCCATGTGAAGTGTTACAACTTTACAAGTTTTGTTTCTTATTTAAATCTACATGCAGAAACTGAAACATGGTAAAAGAAAAATGCAAAATAGAAAAAAAGATGTAATCAAGTTGTAGCATACAGGCATGTTCTTTAACTAAATTACTATACCTATTGGAAAGCAAACGAAAGACCCCTATCCTAATAAATGAACAGACTGTCAGAAACAGACTAAGAACCTTCATTTCTATTTAGTGGGGGGAAAGAAAACAAAATAGAACGAAAACAAAAGCAAAGTAAAAGCCCTACTTGTTTCCATATTTTGTTTAGAGACAGAGGCTGTAAACCCATGAAGGTCAACAAAATATTCTGATCCACTTCTTGTTGTCCTTCCTCCATTTTCTGTGACATGCTGATGGGCACGTTTTATTTTCAATGATACTTACAATGGGCTCAACTATATCCCCGTTCTTAGGCTGGTAACAGACTTTTCTAAACCATCTGAATTAATGCTCATTGTATACTAATAGTCTTCACATTTTTCTTTCACACCACTGACTCTGATGGATAAAATGGACTTTTCTCCCTCTTCCCTTGTTCCTCGTGAAACAAATTCCTAAACAAAACCCTTCCTGGTGGAATATCTGGTATTTGGATATCTTTCATCTTTTTGTTGTCCTGCATGTAAGTTTTTACTAGATTTTGCTGCTTGCTCTATACTTTTCTACTGTAGTCCTGGAGCCCCCAAATGTATCTTCTTCCAACATGGGATGTTCGATTCAGAGACACTGTAACTTAAATCAAGTTTAAAACGCAAGTTATTTCCCCCATACCATTCCCATCTCAACCATTTCTTCTCTGGCTCAGTCATCTCAGTGACGCTCTTCCTGGTGTAACTGCTCAGTAGTCAAGTGAACCATCTCTTTTCTTGACTGCCATTCTCAAGAGAAGATTAACCCTCACGTGATTTCCATTACAAAAGGCCTTTCTGCCTTGTCTGGAAGCGTCGGCTTGTTCCGGTGTTGGCAGAGGCCGGTGTTTCTGCCTCATGGCCCCAGCCTGTCCCAGGTTTAGATTCGCAACTCTCTAGACCGACATGCTGAGATGTGTCCACTGCTCTCATTCAATTGCTGGAGGACTCCACTATCCACAACATCAGATACAGGACCTAATGAAATGACACGTGCTGCTGGATCAACGTCTCCTAAAGGTACAAACAGGGTGACGTTAGAAACTTTACTGCTGCAGCGCAAAACTGGGGCAAGAAAGTGTCCCTCAAACACTAGCAGTCATCATGCACTGACTTCTCCAAGTTAGTGCTTTTGAAGATCATGTATGCTCTTAATATAAGGAAGGTTCCTCTACCTTTTCTGCAGCCTCTCTTTCTCATTTCTGACATGGTCTCATGCAGCCCAGGATGCCCTTGAACTCTTCATCTTCCTGTCTGTTCCCTAGTCCTAGGATTACAGGCATGTGCCACCATACTGGCCCGCTACACCCAATTTCTAGGACACTAAGAAATCATAGTTTGTGCAATGGTTGAACTGTGCATCACCCAAATGCAGCATATGGTGAAGTCTAACCTGCAGAATATAAACTTATTTTGAAACAGAGTTGTTGGCAGATGTAATTAGTTAAGTTGTGGCCATACTGGATTAGGATGGGCTGCTGACATGACTATGTCCTTGTAAAAAGAAGCATGGACACTGAGATGCACACAGGAAGAGCGCTATGTGAAGATCAAGACAAAGACTAAGGTGACGCATATCACTCGAGGATTGCCAGCCATCTTCCGGGAGCTGGGAAGCCTGGGACAGATTCTTCCTCACAGCTCAGCTGATTCCTTGACCTCAGATTTCTTGCCTTCAGAATGGAGACAACAAACTTCTGTTACGTAAGCCACTCAATGTGCAGCACTTTCCTATGGCAGTCTGAATGAACTCTTGCTGTTTGTTTTACACAGAGCAAGTTAGATTAGCAAAAAACTTTCAAGGAGTAAAACACATATATAGAGAAGTATATCCTCAGCTGTGTTTACCCACACCTCGTCTAGAACTGAACTGAATGGGAAAAATGACACAACCATTCCCTGAAGGATGAAATGATACAAAAGTTTCCTCTGAAGTCGATATAAAGTAACTGTCTAAAATAATACATAAGTGCAAAAGGTGAGAGGAGAAAATGTTTAAAATCTTTGGTAAGATATACTTTTAGTAGAATGTCACTTGACTGGCTTATAGGCAAAGAACCACCCTGAATAATTCTAAGAGCTGAAAACAGTTTTATAATGTACACTTTGGGTTAAATGTTACTCTATGAAGTATAGTATTTTATAATAAAGTTATCATTTAATCTTAAAATATGAAATAAAGAAATTTCTAGGCAAGGTGTGGTACAACCTGTAATTCTAGCACACTGGAGGCAGAGGCAGGAGCACTGAGAGTTCAGCATCAACTTGAACTACACATAGGGAGACCCTATCTCAAAACCATGGGCTGGGGTATAGCTCAGTGGTAGACCACTTGCCCAGCTGAATTAATTACTGAGCATTGGAAATAAAAAAAAAGAAAATAGGTAACGAAAGTTACAACCAGATGTAGTAATGCTATCCTAGCTACTTAGAAAGATGAGATGGGAGGACCACTTAAACTAGGGATTATTTAAGTTAACATGGGCAACACAGCAATACACTGTGTCTCAAAACACAAACAAGAGGGCAAAGTTGCTTGCTACCACAACCTGATGACCTGAGTTTGATCCCCAGGTCCCACATGGTGGAAGAGAATCTCTCCCACAAGTTATCCTCTGACCTTCGCATGTGTGCCCCTTTCCACATACACCAAAAAAAAAAAAAAAAAAACCAAACCAAACGCAGTCTACTTGAAGGAGGTCTGGAAGTTATCTGCAGCACAAACCCTTCTCTAATGTGGCCTGCTTGTCAGCAGCTTTGCTTTCACCTAACAGTCTGTGACAAATGATTTACATCGAGCATTTCAGTCAGTCCAGATGATCAACATGCATCTGCAAAGTCTGAAGAGCACTGGAAGAATCCACATGAATCATCTCTTCTAGACTGTTATTAGTACTAACACTTGCCAAAGATGCTACAGTATCAGTTTTCCAACACTAACTGAATAAAAAGCAACTTTTCTGTACTACAGAAAATCTAGAAAATAATTTAAAGCATCTTCCCTCATTCAAAGTAAATGTAATTTTCTAAAGGGCTGAAGTTTTAACTTACATTCTTAAAAAGAATCTCTTGAAGCCAGATATGGTGGCGTATGCCTTTAATCCCAGCACTCTGGAGGCAGAGGCAGGTGGATCTCTGAGTTCAAGGCCAGCCTGGTCTACATAACAAGTCCTAGGCAAGCTGGGGCCACAGGGAGACCCTGTCTCAAAAAGACAAAAAAAAAAAGTAATTAATGCCTGGGGGGGCCTATCAAAATTCACAGGCAAAAGAGTTCCAACTACTTTGGTCATCCATTTACAAGTAAAGTTCCCCTTTAACTGACATATGTTACCAATATTAATAACTGACTTAAAATTCTCAGATGTTTAAATGACAGGTTCCCACAAGGCTCCCTCCTTATACAGGGAGCCCCTTTACTGCAGCATGCTTTTAAGATACTCAATGATGCCACAAACTTCTACCAATGCTAAGCGTGTTCCAAGGTAAAAAGCAAAAGAAAATAAATAGGAGCCAAACCACCAGAAGATTCATTCTATCAGTTTGTCCTTTCAAATAACGACATCTCTTCACTTAGATTTAAAAACTACAAAGAATATTTGGTATTCCACAAGGCTCAAAAACTTTTTTTGCATATTTTTCTTGCCCTTTTAAAATATTTATTCATACCTGCATTTTAAGATTTATGTATTTTAAAAATTTTGTGTGTGGGTGGGTGTCTGTCTGTATGTATGTGTTCCTGAGTGCAGGTACCTGCAAAGGCCAGTGGCATCGGGTGGCCCTGGAGCTGGAGTCACAGGTAGTTGTCCAATGTGGGTGCTGGGAACCAAACTTAGGCGCTCTGCAAGAGCAGTATGAACTCTTACTGCTGAGCCATCTTCCCAGATTCTCATTTAAAAGCATTCATTACACTTTACAGATGGCTATTCTTTTGTTTTGTTCATTCATTAAATAAAATATATATATATATGTCTTTTTGAGACAGGATCTCCCTGTAACCCCCAAGGCTGGCCTTGAGCTCAGAGATCCACCTGCCTCTGCCTCCCAAATGCTGGAATTAAAGGCACGTACCACCACAGCCAGCACTTTTTAAAAATACATATATTTTTAAATTTTACTTATTTTTATTTTATGTGTATGAGTGTATTGCCTGCATGTATATGAGTGTATCCATGTCGTGCAATGATGTGGAGGTCCGAAGAGGGCTTTGGATTCCCCTGGAACTGGAGTTAAGGAGCTGGGAATCGAACCCACGTCCTCTGCAAGAGCAGTCAGTGCCTTAACCGCTGACTCATCTCTCCAGCCCCCTTAAAAATATATTTTGAGACAAGTTCTAACTATGTAACTCTAGCTGGCCTTGAACTCCCAGAGATCCGCCTGCCTCTGCCTCCCCAGTGCTGGAACAGATGTGTGCATGCCTGGTTCAGAGGCCATTCTTTTTTTGAGACAGGGTCTCCCAGTAGCTCCAGCTGGGCTGGAACTAGCTATATAGAACAGGCTAGCCTGACACTCACAGAGATGTGCCTGCCTCTGCCTCCCAAGTGCTGGGACTAAAGGCGTGCACCACCACATCTGGCTTCAGAGGCCTTTTTTTTTTTAACTTAAAAAGAAAAAGTTTATTTATTATTTTTATTTTATGTATATGCATGTATTGCATATAAGTGCACCCGTGTCATGCAATGCCCACAGAGGTCAGACGAGGCTGTTGGATCCCTTGGGACTGGAGCTATGGACAGTCATTAGCTGCCATGTGGATGCTGGGATTTGAACCTGGGTCTTCTGCAAGAACAAGCAGTGTTCTTAACTGCTGAGCCATCTATCCAGCCCCCAGATGCCATTTTTAAAAATCATGGGGAAGTTAGGATTTTTTTTCGAAGTTTTTTTTTTTTTTTAACTTAAAAAGAAAAAGTTTATTTATTATTTTTATTTTATGTATATGCATGTATTGCATATAAGTGCACCCGTGTCATGCAATGCCCACAGAGGTCAGACGAGGCTGTTGGATCCCTTGGGACTGGAGCTATGGACAGTCATTAGCTGCCATGTGGGTGCTGGGATTTGAACCAGGGTCTTCTACAAGAACAGCCAGTGTTCTTAACTGCTGAGCCATCTATCCAGCTCCCGGATGCCATTCTTAAAGATCATGGGTAAGTTAGGATTTTTTTCTGAAGTTTGTTTTTTAAAAAAAAAAAAATATATATTTATTTTTATTTTATGTGTATGCGTGTATTGCCCACGGAGGACAGAAGAGGCTGTCGCAGCCCCTGGAACTGGAGTTCCAGACAGTTGTTAGCTGCCATGTGGGTGCTGGGATTTGAACCCAGGTCTTCTGCAAGAACAGCCAGTGTTCTTAACGGCTGAGCCATCTCTCCCAGCCATTTCTGAAGTTTTAATTTTAGATAAAATAAGCAGGAGTTAGTACTCCCACAAAGAAATGACAAGAGGGATGAGCTTGGGAGGAGAACTGGGGAATGAAATGTATTAAATGACAAAACATAGACTGTAAAAAGTCCCTCTGTCCATTCAATAGCTATTTGTTGAGCTTCTATTAGATGCTAGGCAGTAAGAGCCACATAAGAGATACAAGGAAAGACACAATTCTTGTCCCAACAGTCTTGAATCTCCTGGGGCATGGAGACAAGCTAACAGGTAATTAAGTAGGAAATGTTCTATAGACTATACTGAGTCGTGGTTGCATATCTTTACTGTCTTACACCAGACCTGAGAAGGTCAAGAGGGGCCCTGAAGGAGGAATAGGAGTTAACTGTTCCTGAACAGGAGAAAAGCAAGATACTGCTTCAGAGAAAGGCAGAGAAGAACTGTTAAGAGGCCAGTCTGGTTGGGAATAAAGAAGGAAGGGCAAGCAATGTTAACCACGTTGACTGATTCAAACTTTATTCTACAGGCACAGCATGAGGGGCCTTTAAGGGCTTTAAGCAGAGGAGCTCACAAAGTCAGATGGGGGACTGCATCTCAGAACACTGGCTGTGGTGAAAAGAATGACTTGGAAGGGTTGGGATGGGCTAAAAAGTTGACGAGGAGCTGCAGAAGTAATCCACATTTGAGCTTAGTCAACAGGCCAGGAAAGAACTGCAGCAGTAATACAAATGACAAGTGATGGTAGCTTGATCTAAATCTTACTACTGCGGTGGAGAAAATGGGCAAATATGAGTGCTATTTAGTTACTGAATGCAGAGAATTTAGTTCATTGCCTAGCTGAAGGAAAAGAATGAGTAAAAACTGAATCTTTTAAAGCCTCCTTTTTAGTGTGTGGACAATGAAGTAGGCACACAGTGGGAGAAAGGGGTTTTGGACAGGGCACATAATGAGGTTTGTCTCAGAGACCCACGGCTGGGTAGTCAGAAACTCAAGTGCAAGGTTTGGGAAGGCGTTCGGGATGGCAACTGGGTCAGAGGAGGGATGAACCTCCTCCACAGAGAAGTGTAAGAAAAGGATAAGCCCCCCAAACATTACAACACCAGCAGTATGTACTCATGGAGTGTCAGAAGTCGGAGGGGTTAGGGAGAGAAGAAAAAAACCAGAAGCCAGCCAAGTCATGGGAAGAGGGAAGAGTAAATCAGGAAAAAAAGCGGGTGCACATTGGGAAAATGACTAAGACAACACCCAAGAAGCAGTTAAGAGTCTCCTAGGGAGCCAGGCAAAGGCAGCTTTATAAACAGACATTACTTTTATATCTGAGTTGAGAAAAGCTTGGGTTTTAATAAAAGCAGCATGCGCTTATAGACATTAGCCTGCAAAAATGGAAATGTGAAGTTGATGAAAACTATCAAGATAAAAATATCCTAATAAATTGGTCTCTGATAATACAAGGACAGATATAACAAAGAACAGCACAACATATACTTTAAGCTTAAGAAAATGAGGCCAGGTGTGGTGGTGCAGGCCTTTAATCCCAGCACTTGGGAGGCAGAGACAGACAGATCTCTGTGAGTTCCAGGCTGGCCTGGTCTACAGAGCAAGTTCCAGGCCAACTAGGGCTACAAAGTAAGACCCTGTTTCAAAAAACAAAACAAAACAAAAAAAAAACCCAAACAAACAGAAACAATTTGTTGTTTGTGGCTGGAGAGTTGGCTCAGCTGTTAAGAATACTGGCTGCTCCTGCAGAGGACCCTGTTCAGTTCCCAGCACCCACATGGTGGCTAACACCATCCTAATCTCCAGTTCCAGGGGATCTCACACCCTCTTCTGACCTCCATGGTCATTGCATGACATGAGTGCACTTAAACACGCAGACAATACACTCATATACATCATCATCATCATAATAATAATAGAAATAATAACAAGAGCCATAGTAGTAATAATAATAATAATAATAATAATAATAGAAATAATAATAACAGGAGCCAGAGAGATAGCTCAGCAGTTAAGAGCACTAGGCTCTTCTTGCAGAGGACCAGGGTTTGATTCCCAGCACCCACATGGTGGCTAACAACTGTCCATAATTCCAGTTCCAGGGGATCCAAAGCACTCTTCTGACTCTTGTGAGTCACAGGTACACTGCATGACACAGGTACACTTATATACATACACATAAGACTAAAATAATAAATTTTTTTAAATATTAAGAGAAAAGGAAAAGGCAGAAAATTAATATTTTTCACCGCCTTTTTGTTTTGTTTTTGAGACAGGGTCTTCCTGTAGCCCCCGCTGGCCTGGAGCTCACTATGTAGACCAGGCTGGCCTCCATCAGATATTCTCCTGCCTCTGCCTCCAGAGTGCTAGGATTAGAGGCGGTGCACCACAACTCTTGGCACCTTTTCATTGTCTTTTAAGCTAGTTTGTACATTTAATAGCAATAAAATGGGCTTCAATAAAATTAAGCTTTTATCGGTGAGTATAACCCAAAATTCTCTAATCTGCTCATACAGGCATTACTGAAACAAAAACATCATTAGGGAAAAGCCAGTGCATACTGTCTTACCTCCCACCAGTCTTAAAGATTAGATCTGCATTAGGTGCTCCCTTTGGATGTTGGTACCGAGGCCGCCGCTCACGATTGGTGTTTGCTGGAGCTGGGCGCTGTGCAAGAGACTGCAACATTTCTGTGATTAGGAGCAAATAAGAAAATGCTGTTAGCTCTTCTAAAAGCATGCCTTCTAGAAACCTGTAAGACAAATAAAACATTCGGGAGAACGTGTTTTTAGTCTTTACAGGTAGCTGACTTTAAAAAGAACATTATACAGGCTAAAATGACTATGAAGTGCTGAGAGACCATGAAAAGGTAAAGAGCAGTGACAACTTTGATGACTGCATTAAACACACTCAAAAATTTTCCACTTTTTAATGTGTGTGGGTTGGGGGGTATATATGTACGGCAGGTGTGTAATGTTCATATGTGTATGTGTGCATACTGGGAGGTCAGGACAACCAGGTATTGTTCCTCCTCAGGCACTACCTACCTTGTTTGTACAACAGGGTTTCTCACAAGGACCTGGGGCGTGTCTATTCGGTTGGCTGGCCAGCCAGCAAGCCCCAGGAATCTGCCTCTCCAGCACTGGGATTATTAAAAGTGCCACACCTGGCTTTTCTAAAAGATATTTTTATTTATTATTTTATGTGTATGACTGTATTGCCTGCATATATGTAACCACACCCATGTTGTGCAATGCCTCAGAAGAGGGTGTCAAACCCCCTGGAACTAGAGTTAGGGATGGTTGTTAGTGGGTACTAAAGTTAGGGAACTAGAGTTAGGGATGGTTGTTAGTGGGTACTAAAAATCCAACCTGGGTCCTCTACAAGAGCAGTCAGCGCTCTTAACTGCTGAGCCATCTCTCCAGCCCCACACCTGGCTTTTTATGTGGGTGCCAGGGAAACAAATGCAGTTCCTTATGTTTGTATAAAGTGGTAAGCACTTTATTTACTGAGCTCCCCCCCCAGTCCTAATTTTCTACATTAAAAAAAAAAACAAAAACGGTTTTACTGATTTGAGAACTTCATACAATGTTATTTTGATCATACTCAATTTTTCACATTAAAAAAAAAGATTTTTATTTGTATGCATGTGTATCTGTGTATTGGTATGATCACATGCGTACAGGTGTCCATGGAGGCCAGAAGACAGTGTTGGATCCCCTGGAGTTAGAGTTACAGGTAATTATGAGTCACCTAACACAGGTGCTAGGAACCAAACTTGGGTTCTCTGCAGGAGCAGCATGCATTCTTAACTGCTGAGTGATCTCTCCAATCCAATTTCCCACATTTTAAATAACTGAGTTCTCTTTTTTTGAGACAAAGTCACTATGTAGTACAAGGTGGCTGATCCTCTTGCCTCAGCCTCCAGAGTGCTGGCATTATAGGCATATGACACCACACCTGGTCTGTGAACGATCTCCTACCTTGATAATCCTCTTGTTCTTGCCGTTCATTGATATCTAATGTGAGCTTTTTCATTCTCATCCTCTCTTCTTGCTCTGCTTGTTGCTGGTTCCAATGATTTGCGGCAAGTTGAGACGACATGGGCACATTAAGGATCTTAAACTGAGGAAAAACAAAGGACTCACAACCAGCTTGGTAGGACAGCAAGTAGACTTAGTTTAGAAAACAACACTATCTCTCACTCTACGTCAGATTTATGACAGCATCTACAAACAGATACAAATACCATTTCAAGAAGAGACAAAGCCTCTCAGAGTCAGATGAGAAATGGAAGGCCCCCAAGTTCAACTAATGTCATGAATAGCAGAAGTTCTTTGATGCACCCTATTTGAAAGTATATGTCTAGGACCGGGGACAACTTTTCACAGATTGGTCAAATATGGATTAACTGTCAAAAAGACATTATACAGCAAAATAAAAAGCACATCCTTTTCATTTCCGCCTGTGCCCTGAACTGTATGGGGAAAAGCTGGTCCATCTTCATCACCTTACACTTCATCTTTCTGAAGATAGCTGTGACTCTAAAGAGGAACAGTTAAACAAATGACCTAGAGACCCCGTTCCCTGTTATAGGCAGAGTGAGTTCTTGTCTTGGAATGATTTTGAGCAGGATATTCCTAGCTTAGCATACAAAAGACAAACTTAGACAAAATTTTACAAAATTAAGGGTCATGGCTCCCTGGGAAATTTACGCAAGCTATGCTGCCATTTAAGCATAAAAATGGAAGTGTTTCATAATCTAAATTTTCTGTTGTATGATAATTTGCATGCTTTACATAGGAGGCCTCACTATTACCTAAAGGCCCGTGGAAAGGCAGAGTTCAGGGAGCTGTGCCGAGGACCCCAGACCTTTCGTTGCTTGACCCATGCCTGTGAAATGTAAGCATCCCTGAAATTCTTAGTGAACTTTAACATTACATGAGGTCTGACTCATTTGAATCAGATTAAAAATTTGGTTTTGTTATTATCTCAGATGTTCTTTATTGGCATCCTCTTTTCGGATACACATCAGTCAGTCAATGTTCCTATTAGAATGTAGTATCCAGAACACTGAACACACAAGGGCAGACATACTAAAGAGAAAATGATCAAGGGTAGGCAAGAAACCACATACAATCGGGCATGGTGGTGCACACCTTTAATCATATGGCTCCTGATGCAGAGGCAGGGGGATCTCTGTTAGAGATCAGTTAGAGGCCAGCTGGGGCTATGGGGAGACCCTGTCTCAAAAAATAAAATAAAATAAAATAAAATAAACCCCCAATTTACAGGAAGTACTAATTTTCCCAGTCAAAAACTATAACAAATCATAATTCCTAATATTGACTGCAAAACAATGACTTGTTTCCAAGTACTTAGTTTTGCATTTTAAAAAGATTTTATTTATTTGTGTGTATAAAGACCAGAAGAGGGTGTTAGATCTCTCAGAGCTAGAGTTATGAACATTTGTGGGATGCCTGGCTTGTTACACTGGCGCTGGGTTCTGAACTCTGATCCTCATGATTGTGTAGCAAACACCCTTTTAACTGGTAAGCCATCTCTCCAGTACCTACATCATTAAATATCAGTTATTATGTTAACTTTGTTTTAATGATCAAAATAGCTTATTTAATTATTCAAATTCATAAAAACTTAAATAGAGAAATGAATGACAACATTATCCTTTGATTTCTCTGCAACTACTCACTTCACGGCTGCATTTTCCCCTAATGACTACAACAGCAAGTCTTCTCTCAATACAAATCTGGTATACAAAGAGAGCTTTCACAGAAGTTAAGAATTAAACATTCCTATAAGGCAACACATTTCACACTTGTAAAAAATCCGTTGCACCAGAAAAGTCAACACCCAAAAACCAAATAAAATAGTAAAAATCAGAACAAAATACACATTCTTTGTCAGACCACAAAATACCATGTTTCTTCAAATAATGTTCCTAAAACTGAACATTTTCCAAAATACCAAATAAAGTTTATTACTTAATAACCAAGACATAGGAGTTATTAATAAACTAAAAATGGTCTTATTCTGACCCATATAATTTAGAATTCTAGACTACTAATGTTAATTTATTTTGAATTTCCAAACTCAGGTTTAAAAAAAATGTTTGGATTTTCAATGTATGTATATGTGTTTTGCCTGCATGTATAAGTGCACCCATGTCATACAATACCTACTTTTGAGACCAGAAGAGGGCATCAAATCCCCTGGAAATGGAGTCACGGGCAGCCATGGGCTGCCAGATGTGGTTACTAGGAACTAAACCCAGTTCCTCTGCAAGAGCAACAAGTGCTCTTAACTGATGAGCCATCTCTCCAGCCTCTGGAGAACTATCGTAATCTCTCCTTTTCTTAATAGCAAGGAAGGCTGGGGCACCAGGTCTTAAATCTTGGGAAGGTGGGGTGGATCACCTTTTCTTTCAGGGTCAGGCCTTAGCCCTCACACTCTGCCTCAGCTTGACAGTTCTGATAAAGACTCCTGAAGGCTAGAGGTTGGGATTCTCCTATTGCCTCTGGGAGGTAAGTAACAACCCTACCTGCCTTATTCCCAAGGTTTAGCACACACTCCAGTACCAGTTACCCCTGTTAAGCAGGGTCAAGGACCTGCAGCTCAGCTTTAAGCTCTACGTAGAAAGGGCTGGTTGGGGGCTCAGGTCTCAGCAGGTACGTGCAGGGGGCAAGGATCTTCCCTCCATTCAACCCCCACTCTGAGCTCTCAGAAGCAAGTCAAAGAGTTCCAGTACTCCTGGAGGTAGGCGGGGAAGTTTCAGTGTGGCTTTCATCCACTGGCAATGGTGACTAAGGATGGTGGTGTAGAGCTGTTCTTTGTCCTCAAGAAGCAGGGTGGGGCTAGGGCTAGGCTTGGGAGCCTGGGGGGTGTGGAAGGTGGTCTTCTCCAACTCTAGGTGGCAGGACTTGACTGCAGAAAGGAACTCTGTGCAGGAACAGTAGAGAGGCCCAACAGGGCCCCTGGCTGTATGACTAGCCCTAGAGGAGTGGGGGATGGAGTAGCACACTACCAAGGTCAAGCAGTGGAATTCAAGGTTAGCCCTGCTCACCATCCTCTTCTTCCTGGGATCTTTCAGCCTCTATCCTTGGATGGGGAAAGCTTTTGAAACATTTTTAATATTACATGTGTGTTTGCAGTGTGTAGTTCAGAGGACAACTTGCAGGAGTCAGTTCTCTCCCACCACCATGTGGATCCCAGGGATTGAATTCATATTGTCAGGCTTGGAAGCTAGCATGTTTAACCACGAGCCATCTCACTAGCCCAGCAACATTTCTTTGAAGTTGTCCTAGTTGGGTGTGTGTGTGTGACAGACTTTCCATTACTGATGGCACTGCAAGTCTCGCTGACTATGTATCTAAAACAGCAGCCTCTCTTTCACTCTCTCTCCCTATCCCTATCTTTCTCTCCTCTTACCTTATTTCCCATCACATTTCCCCAGATTGGTATTATGAATTTCTTTATCATATGCCTCCCAAAACCACACTGAGAGCTCCTAAGAGAAGAAGGGCTTGGTTAACTACTGTTGTGTTCTGCACAAAGGGCCTGGTAACTAACTAGCAGGAAAACAAAATATACAAACGGCTTA